AACGCACAATCGAGAACCGCGATTGTAAGCCATTAACGCTCATTAAAAGAACGCACGAAAACGCGTTTGTTGGCGTTTTTTGTAACTTTATGGGCGCTAAAACGTATTATTTTTAAGTTCTAGAATAATAGTACGTTTTAACGCTCAAAAACGGGAATTGTCGCCGTTTTAACGCCCATGAAGTTACAAAAAACGCGTTTTCATGCGTTTTTTAAATTAGCGTTAATGGCTTACAATCGCGGTTCCCGATCGTGTGTTTAAACGTGTTTTTCAAAATTTTTGTCTGACTGGGTAGTATTCATTATAAGTTAAAAATCATTTTCTTTTTAAAATATTTATAGATGACATTTTATCAACCTGAAGGTGATCGATATAAAATTTTATATGAAGAACGTGTAATTAATTCACAAATTAAATTACACGGTTATGACCTTAAAGATGCAAAAGTTGTGATTAAAGCACGAGAAGTAAGAAACCAGTTATAAAGGACGCTCAGCTAATAGAAAGAGGAGTGACCTAGCTCATAAGAATGCTCTCTTTTCAAGATATTAAAGTCACAAAAAACAGAAAATTTCAGCATATTTTGTGGGATATCAATGATTGTTGAAACTTTAATATCTCGAGAAGAAAATATTTTTTTTGAACTAAAATTTTCAGAGCATTCTACTAACAAATAGATCTGTCTATGAGGAAAATTTCAAGCCAAAATATCATCATTCGATTCGTTGATGTATATCGTGACATAGGCTAAAATGACACTAAAATGCTTATAACTCAGAACAGAATATGCTACATGAGTAGATAGTTATTTTGTGGAGCAATTTTATGAGATATCTGAGTGTCATTAGTATTGAACTTCTTTTTTATATTATTACTATTTTCTACTCATTAAAATCGATTGTATTAAAAAAAGACAAACTTTGAAATAGGTTAGATTTTTATTTATGAAATGTGCTCATTCATTTCTATTTCAGACATATTTATTTAATAAAAAGGAAGTGATATATTTGAACAAACAGGCTCTCTTTAGAAAGTAGTTTTTTATACTGAACATTCAAGAGAGGTTGATAGAACTGAACAGAAGAATGGAAAGAAGTGAAAAAATGTGATTTTTATTCTTTTTAGAATGAAAATTGTCTACGAACCGAAGATATTGTTGATATACTTCGACGTGAAGGTCATTCAATTGCTCTTGTCATGATTGGAGGAGCAGATTATTATACAGATCAATTATTTGATATTGAAACTATTACACGTATTTCTCATGAACAAGCATGACCAACGATATTTTCGAAGAAATTTTTTTTTCTATTCATGCCTTGGGAATGTTTTAAGGGTTGTTGTGTTGGATGGAATTTAACATATGCTATTGGTAATGTACCATTGAAATTACATGATTGGCAAGTCGATTTTGCTGTATGATGTACATATATGGTAAATGATCGAGATTAAATAGAGTAAATTTTATTTTTGTTTAAATATAGTATTTAAATGGTGAAGTATTTGTACATTCAAATCATTTTAATGATAATCATTTGACTAAACTTGATAGTTGGTGGAATAATCGAGAATCTACACGATTTACTATGTTTGATAGTATGAAATATTCATTTTCATTTAATATAAATAATGTATATTTAGTTGTAGATATTGATCGAGATAGAAGTGCTCTGGATTTTCATGTTAGTAATTCATCAATGTGCAATTCTCGCTGCTAGTTTAGAAGTATGTTTATAATGTAATGTTGATTTAAAAAGAGATAATCTCCTTTTTTCTGGAAAGATTTTTGATAAAGAAGGCATCGAATAAATTCGTAAAAAGTCAATTATTCTCACTCAATATCTTCAATATTTACTTCAAATTGAATTAATAGGTAAAGAAAAATTTTTCGTAATTATTTATTCAAAATAAATTTTAAACTTTTATTATTTTTTTTTTCTGAAGATACAGAATTATGTCAATTTACTTTATTGACTCTCTCCTAATCCTCAAGAACGTGGTACTCAATTATCATTTTGATCTATTGATATTACTGATCAACAAATTCATGATGAATTAGAAAAAGTTCGTGTTATTGTAAGTATCAAAACAATAATAATTATTTGATAGTCACAAAGTATTCATTATTTTTTTTTCAGACCGATATTTGCGATGATATTATTCGAGTAGCACCAGCACCATTATATAATATTTTTTTTTCATACATTCCAATTTGTTTCATTACTTAAAGAAGAAATTATTACATTAACAACAGTATTTGAAGAATGACATTTTATTTTCTGATAGCCATGGCATTCATTAACTTCCTGTTTGTTTTCTTAGATAAGCTTAAGAACATTATACGATGAAAGGTTCTTCCTCAAACTAGTTCATTAACTTTGGTGAATATATTCAGTCAGTGAGTGCGGCCTAACAGCATAAGTATTGAAAAGTATTCGAGCGAATACTCAACAAATATTCTGCTTACAAATACTGTTCGTATAATCTGATGAGTACTCATATATATTTCTTTTTAAAGATTTGTTCCCAGGCGAAAAAATGAACACTCAAATGTATCATACATGATTGTTTGTTTTATTTCGAAGAGCATTTAACGAAACATATATGAAATAAGTTCAAAGATAGATTGAAGTTATGTTATAAATAAAAAACGATCTACTAAAATGGTAAATAGAGAAAAGTTGTTTTAATTTACTTTATCCTCGGGTTTTTCTGGTAAGCTATTTAAATGTTTTTAATAAACATGGATTTTAGGAACATAGAAACAATTTTTCATTTTTTTTTTCAATTGTTTTTTGTTTATTTCTCAAGGTCGATTGAATGTATCTTTAAATATATCTAATAAAAGTTTATTTTAATTTTATTTTCTAAATTCATATTATAAAGTTCTTGGATTAAAATATAATCTTTCAGATTGACTAAAGAAAACAATAAACCAAAAGACAATAGAAGACTTAATTTACTAATCATTTTTATTACTACACTATGAAGGCTATGAGTATTGATGATTCTTTACTTTTCATTCATTCACTTCACCTACATTTCTCGCATCAAATTCTTTTTTCCTAGATACTGAAAGAATATTCAAAAACATCTATTAGTATTTGTAACTACCTAACATAGCACAATTATTTTGATCCTTTTTCATCTATACGTCTGCTGATCAGCATATCTTTGTTCAGTACTGTACTTTTTATGCGTTCGGTTACCTTTGAAAATTTGTG